ATCTGTTTTTGTCTCAGCTACTATTGCCCACAGCGACCTTGCTATCCGCTCCACGCATCTACACACACCCACTACATTTATCTGCCAGTCAACAACTTTATATTGAAACAGAAGATACACAAATAAAGCAGTGGATAAAACAGAAAATCCAGAAACAGATTCAAGTATTTATGGGGACCGGATACATGAAAGATCACAATTCAAGTCAGTTGGAGAAGAATGTTTTATTTACTAAGTATAACTGCTGACATGCTGGCTGTTTGTCAGGAATAAAAAAAAGCTAAATCCTTCCTCACATCACAAATAAGATTAGTTCTAGGTGGATTAGCAAACTAAAGGCAAAATGTAAGTAAAATTAATAAACAAAAATTAGAAGAATATTTTCATAAGTTTAGGTTGAGGATACCTTATTATACAAAGCACGAAACCTAAAACCCATACAGGAAAATAATTGTACAATGTTGTGTAGGAAAAAAAACACATACACAAAGCTAAAAGACAGGTTGGGAAAAATACGTATGTAACACATTTGCTATCCATTAGTTACTGCTGATGGTGGGAAACTGCAAACATTTTCCATAAAGAGCCAGACAGTAAACATTTGAGGCTTAAGGGTGTGAACCCTAAAAGAGGTTCATGATGGATCCAGAATGGCTAACTAGGCCTAAATTCAAAATACAGCCAAGCAGCCATTGGCTGACTAGAGGTCACAAGTACTTCAGTTTTGTTTGCTTTCTGAGACACGATCTTGCTCTGTTGCCCAGGCTGGAGTGCAGTGAGGCGATCATGACTCACTGCAGCCTCGACCTCCCGAACTCAAGCAATCCTCCTGCCTCAGCCCCTGGAGTAGCTGAGATCACAGGAACCCGCCACCACCGCCGGCTAATTTTTTGTAGAGAAGGGGTTTCACCGTGTTGCCCAGAATGAACTTGAACTCCTGGGCTCAAGTGATCCGCCCGCCTCAGCCTCCTGAAGTGCTGGGATTACAGGCCTGAGCCACCGCACCCGGCCCCCATGGGACGGGCATTTTTAAGGCTCCTGATACATATTGCTAAATTGTTTTCTAGAAACGCTCTACCATCCCACCAGCAGAGTATGACTCCTACGGTAGAGATTTTTGGCTCAAAGAATTAGGATGTATTTTAAGGGGAGAACCCTCTTCTCATCTTACCCCTAACCTCTATCCTTGAGTGACCTACCTTCACTCCCAAGCCTCCAGTCACCCACTGGGAATCTCTACCTGGAAATCCCAGAGGCACTCAAACTTAACGTGTCCACAACTAAATTATTATCTGTCACCTTCCCACCTCATATCCCCCCAAATGCCCCAGATTCAGAAAACATACCCATCACTGTGGCTGGCACCACGGTGATAATCACGATAATAACCATGGCAACCAGATTCCTCACTGAAGCCATTCTTTTAGGATGAACCAAGAGCACAACAGGCAGAGATGACAAGGGGAATGGAGAAGGGGGTACAGTAAGTTTGAGACAGTTGAAGGCACGCGCACGACAGCGCCTGCGCACCACGGAACAGGGCAAAAGGGTGACGAACATGTGCCACTGAGCTTCACCGAGCAGCCGATGCCCAGAAAACAGGTATCCGCACACAGACTCAGTTTCCGTGTAGGTAACCCCGGGGCGCTGCGGGTCGCACCCGGCTTTCTCGCCCAGTGAGAAAGAACTGCGCAGCTACCGCCTGGCTGGCCGCCAGGCGCGTGCGTAGAGACGCCCACACGCCCGGTGATGCGCACGCGCCCTGGGCCGCGCGTGCGCGCGTCGGGTCCCGGAATGAGCCGGGGAAAGCAAGCCGAAGGGTTGGGGTTGGCTCCCGGTTTCGCGCATGCGTGCGCTGCACAAACCATTTGGCGGGTTTTTCCCGGCCACTCTGTTCTGCCACCGTCACTGAGAAACTCAGCGGTAGCTTTTAGGAAGCAGGACGTTTTCTCCGGGAAAGCGTCCTCTCGAGATTTCTGCTCCCTCCATTCAGGGCGTTTGGGGGCCACCCCTTCATTTTTTAAAAAACGTATTTCTCTGTGACCGACGGCCGGGGCCCTCTGACGGTCTGAGGTCTTGCTTGGGCCAGTCACCTCCTGTCACGGTCCGCGGAGGGTGGAAGGATAAGAGGGCGAGGCGCTCATCGCTCGCCAGGCCCGTGGGTTTCTTGGGCACAGGTCGGAGCTGGGTGGGCCGGCTCCCCGGCCCCTGGCTTGGGCGACCATGTCCGCATCCCCCCAGCAGCTGGCGGAGGAGCTGCAGATCTTCGGCCTAGACTGCGAGGAGGCTCTAATTGAGAAATGTGAGTCCGGCACCCCTTCCCGCCCCGCAGCCGTGTTCCACGCTCTCGCCCGAGTTCCTTGGCGCTTCGAGCCGAAAGGGGAGCGCTTCCAATTTCCCCCTTCCCTGGAGCGGAGTTCTCGGTGGCTGTGAGATGAAGAATCAAACTGAGTTTTGAGATTTAGGATGTGGGCACTTTGAAATGCCCACCGGGTACCGCTTGGATGCCAAATCAAAAATACGAATATGCAGCACGATTTTAAACCAACTCGAAGTTCTCGAAAGGCGGAATTGGGATGTGCTAGATCGAGACTAGGCCCCGGTGGCACCTGAGTTTGGGAATTGTTGAGGCCCGGGTAACGGGTAACGAAGCAAGAGATGTGGGGGTTTTGAAATGTAGCTTTTTATTCTTGGCTCCTCCCTTTCCAGCCTACACCTTAAACCTCTGCTGATCCATCAGTTCTCTTATAGGAGCTGTTGGTGGTCTGTGCAAATATGAATCCCTTGAGGTGGATTTCTAAAATTGAATTTGAGCTGTGGAAGGGGCTTTAGGGAGGTTGTTGGCTCCCTCTGTTTACAGATGGAGAAACAGACAAGGAAAGCTAATTGCCTGAGCTGTCTGTGAAGCCAGGTGTCCTGCCGTGGAGTCCCGGGCTGCATCATACGGGTCCATCGTGTTGGTCAAGCTGTAGATCAGTGTAAGGAGTCATTTGAAGCAAAGCCCGGGAGATATGGAAGTTCTGGAATCCGTGTGAATGTGCACCTGCCTTAACCACTCAACACTTTGAACTTCTTATATATAAAAAGAGAATGAAACATGTTAATTTATGGTGAGAAATTTTGTTTTTCAGAAACCAGAATACTTTGTCTTCATGCCCAGTGCCTTCTCCTCCTCTTCCTTTTTTTTTCTCTTTTTGAGACACGTTTGCTTTATCACCCAGACTGGAGTGCAGTGGCGTGAGCTTGGCCACTGCACCCTCCACCTCCCAGGGTTCAAAGCGACTCTCCTGCCTCATATTCCCAAGTAGCTGGGAATACAGGCGCCCACCACCAGGCCCGCTAATTTTTTTTTTTTTGGTATTTTTAGTAGAGAAGAGGTTTCACAGTGTTGGCCAGACTGCTCTCACAACTCCTGACCTCAAGTGATCCACCCACCTTGGCCTCCCAACAGAGTGCTGGGATTTACAGGCCTGAGCCCACCGCACTCTGTCCTTCTCTTTTTAAAAGAAGACTAGCCAGGCGCAGTGGCACACCGCCTGTAATCCCAGCACTTTGGGAGCTGAGGCAGGCGGATAACCTGAGGTCAGGAGTTCGAGACCCAGCCTGACCACATGGAGGAAACCCTGTCCTCCTAAAAAGTACAAAATTAGCCAGGCGTAATGGCACATGCCTGTAATCCCAGCTACTCAGGAGGCTGAGGCAGGAGAGTCGTTGAACCTGCGGAGGGTGGAGGTTGTGGTGAGCTGAGATCACAGCCATTGCACTCTAGCCTGGGCAACAAGAGCGAGACTCTGTCTCAAAAAAAAAAAAGAATAGACTTAAGTGAACCTGAATCATAGTCAGAAATTTATGTGGTAAGCATGAAATCAGCATGAGAGAAATTAGTTATGTGAACCAGATTTGTGAGAAAATTAGTTATGTGAACCAGATTTTAAAGACTTCAGGCCAAATGCCAATGGCTTTCATCTATGTAGAGCGAAATTGGCAATGGCTTTGGATTGTTGGACTTTGGATCATCAGTAACCTCAATGGCACCTTAATTTTCCTGACAGTAAAACCATA